GGCGGCGCGTCCCGGGCCTGAGGGGTGTGGGCGCGGGGCCTGGGCCGGCGGGAGCGGGCAGCCGGCCGCGCTGAACTCCTGCCCCTCCGCCTCTGCGGGCCCTGCCGCCGCCCGAGCCGGCAGGCAGCGGCTGGAGGAGTGCCACGGCCGCGGGGCCGGTGGCGTTAGTCGCTTCGCACCGGGACGAAGCGGGCAACGCCGGTAGGTCCGTGCTGTGACAGCACCGAGCACAGATGGTGGGGAAAATGGCTTAAACTGAAATACCGGAGCCTGCGGAGAGGGCGCCGGCGGCTGCGGAAGCTCACCCCGGTTAACGGGGCTGTACCGAGGGGTGTGCTGACCCGTGCCGGTGTACCGACAGAGCCCCCCGGTAACGTACCCTTCCCTCTCTTCGGGTGAGTTCCGTGCAGATTGATTAGCCTGCCGGCGCCCTGCCCGGCCCTGGCCCGGAGCCTGCGGTCCCGCTGCCCCGCGCTGAGCCCTGGCACCCCGGCGAGGTGCGAGCCCGCTTCACGGAGGGGTTTCGGGGCGGCCTCTGAACGAAGCCGTGAGCCGGCTATCGCTGAACGGCAGGCCGCAGCGGAGTAGGTCTGCGGAGGGGGTAGTTTGGAGATCGGCGGCAGTTCGAATGAAGTGTCGGTCTGTCAGAATGCTATCAGTGCTTTGCAGCTGGGTCCCAGGGCACGGTTTCGGCAGGGAACAAAGGAAGCTGCTGGCTCTGGTCTTCAGTGACATAGTCTTTTTTTGTTAAACAAAACAGTGATGTGTCTTCTGTTTTAAAAAAAAAAGTCTGTTTTTATTCTGTAATTGCTTATGTCCGTGTTTAACTGGAAGGTGATTCAGATTAGATGTGAATAACAACTTAGCCGAGCTTGGTTTTGTGTTGATGTTATATCTGTGTTGTATAAACATACAGTAAAAAGGCGGAGTGTGTCTTTGACAGCAGCAAGTGCGCTGGACGAACTGGACAGTGTGAACTAATTGCGCTCCTGGACTATAGCAGAAACGAGGTAGTTTGATGCAAGTGCAGTAGTTGCCTGGTTATTGTGTTTGGGGGTGTGAGAAGCCTTTAAATGGAATTTAGGCCTCATCTTAACTTCAGCAGGAAGGATCTGCCTCTTGCATTGCCACTTTTGGGGCTTCTTGGAAATGGCGGCTTGTGTGGTTGCTGATAGTTTGGGGTTTTCTTCCCCCTTTTCTCCTCCTTCCACACCTTCTTCCCTCCACATTTTCACAAGGACAAGTAACATTCTGTTGGTTAACGCTTATCTTTGCAGGGAAGCTAGTGACTACTTTCAGTATTTCACCACTTCCTGAGTCTGCTTCTTTATAATGTTTCCTTTGCTTCAGGAAGCCATTGTATGTAGTCCATGCGTGAGCTGCTCCTCATGTATGGCTTTTGTACGTGAACATAATAGCCAGGAACCAATGAGTGGTTTCTTGCTCTTTCTGAAGAACCTGGGGGAAAAAATTACATATTTAGTATAAAAATTAGCATGCCTGTGGCTGGAGTCATGGTCTTTGACAGCAGCAGTAAGAGCTTTCAGTAGTAATTGGCAGTTGCAGGTGACCATGCACGTTTCATTTCAAACACTGCTCGCTGTGAGACCAGTAAGTTCTGAAAACTCCGAGACTAATAAGTTTCTGTATTTCAAAAACGCGTATGAGCTAGTTTGGGGAGTTTGGAGGATTTTTTTGTTTGGGTGTTTTTGTGTTGTTTTTTGTTGTTGTTTCAGGTTTTTTTAGTTCATGTGAAAATGAAAGAGCACTTGTTTGTGGGCTATTGGATACTGTTTGTTCAACAGTAAAATACTTTGTTTTCAGAACTTTCTTTTTTTTACGTAGTACTCAGCTGTTTCAGGAGGTTTCTTGGTGAACAGCTCTCCGGTGTGGTACAGGTGGACTGAAACAAATGTGGTTGATCTTCTTGTTGCTTTGTGTATGGAATCTCCCTGAAAGTTGTACTGGGGGTGAGGGGGCCTAAGTGCAGGAACACAGTACGTAGCGTGTTTTTTTTCCGCTAGGAAGTATTTCAGCTGACTCTTATTAGCAGTGTATTTAAGAGTGATGGACCAAGCAGCATTAAGATCCTGAGTCATGTATCAGTTTCTTTTCTTTTTTTTTTTTTTTTCTTCTGATAGGATATTCCTAGTATATGTCCAGGCCCACAGAGTCAAAATCTGAACTTCCGATGTTAAAAATGTACAAGCGAGATCAATATTGCCTCCTTCCTCCCAACAAATGTATTCCACATATACTTAAAGGCATAAGGGAAGATGATGTTACCTTTTGCAAGGCCTTAGTACATATCCTTCCGTACAAGCAAGACTCTGCAGTGCTGTGTTGGGATTTGACCACCAGCATATAGATCCTGAGATGTGTTTCCACCAAGAGCAGCGGTAGATTTGTATGCCCGATCAAATTCTGTTCTCTGTAATTCCCAGTCCTCTTTTGCTATTAGATACTAATAGTATTCAGTCACGTGGTCAGGTGAAATAAACTTACTTCGTAATAAATTTACTTCATGCTAAGCCTTGCGTACCTTTAAGCAGTGCTATTTATTCTTCTGTTTGAACACAGCCCAAACTGCCGTAAAATTAAATGTAATGATTTGTCTATTCTTACATATACAGGCAGCTGAAGAAGTTAGATGAAGACAGTTTAACCAAACAACCTGAAGAAGTATTTGATGTATTGGAGAAGCTTGGAGAAGGGTATGTGTTCTATTACAATGTGCCCAATGTATGGTTCTCTAAGAACAAATCTGCGTAATGGGTATGTGTTCAGTGGTCTCTTTTTTCCCTTTTGTCATGATCCCGTTACTGCAAAGGTATGTACCAACATAGTGACAGTGTTTGGCTAGTAACAGAATAAAGAATTTGTTTCCCAAGGGTAGCATATCTTAATCCAAACAGCTTATGGCTCAGTAGTAGGGAGTTAAAACATTGTTGAAAAATGCCAGTCTGGACTTGATAGGGCTCTGTGGGAACTCAAGAGGTTTTGTAGTTCATCCCTGGTACCTCTTGCAGAAGATCCGCGTGGTGGAAATGAACTGTTGCATTGTGCCACTTGGTAAGGCAGAGCAGCATGGGAACGCTCGGTGAGTGACATGTTTGCCTTAAGCAGATCATTTGAAAAAACTGATTTGTAAATCTGCCTGGCTGGTGTAAGTAAAGAAGCTGGAAATAAGGCAGATAATATCTGACAAGAACAAGCAAACCTCTGTGACCAGAGCTGTAGTTCTTACTGATGCTCAGCTGGTACTGTATGTTGGAAAAAGAGAGAATTGTATTTGCTGGATTTGTGTAAAAGGCCATTGCAACGCTACGGGCAGTGTAATGGTGGTTGGCTCTTTTCTGACCATCTCAGTGAGCTGTGACTTATTTGTGGTATTACAGTGTTTAGAAGCTAGTGGACTGATCATTTACATTAAAATACAAAATATTTTTAGCAGAAGGATAGTTAATTTTTTACCTGTTGGCTGCACTTGCAAAAAGCAAAACAATAACATTTGCATTTTAAAAATGTTGTTGTATTAATTGTTTGTTTAATATCTTGTTTCATAGTTCCTATGGCAGTGTCTTCAAAGCCATTCATAAAGAAACGGGTCAAGTTGTTGCAATTAAACAAGTTCCTGTGGAATCTGACTTGCAGGAGATTATAAAGGAAATATCCATAATGCAGCAATGTGACAGGTAAATGTACACTGCAAAACCCGTTATTGGTATGCAAAGAAAAGTATTGTCTATGATCTGGCATTTAATCAAATAAAAGCCATGATGTTGCCTTAAATGTTTTTTAAAAGGCCGGACTTGTACGATCAAGTTACCTCGTATCAACTGAGTCATGTTAACTGACCATTTGGGTAGTGTTAATCCAAGCAAAGGTAAGACAACAAAAATTTAGCTTGCAACAAGAGAGCATTAAGCTAAGTTGAATAACCTTGCACTTGCTGCCAGCAAAGAGCCAAGCGTGTGAGCAGTTACTGCTGATCTCCCCATGCGCCATCACTTGTTGAACAGTGGTAACTTGATTGTGTGCTAGAACAGCAGTTCCCATGCCCAAAGGGTTAATGAATTCTAAACAAGTTTTGGTATGGACATAGAAAACTGTTAGAAGAGGGTTTTTCATTTGTTTGTTTTTAAGGGGCACGTGGATGAGAGCCACTAATGCATGACTGCTCTTGCATGTGCATAATCTACATGCTGTCATCTGCTTGGGTGGCACAATTGTCCTTCCCAGCCATTTTCTGCCTGTGCAGGTTCTAGTGCAGTACATGCTGTCTGCTGATCTGAGCATCCCCAGAATAACTTGCTGGCAGCTCTGCAGGCTGATGGTTGGCTCTCTGGGTTGTCTTTGCATGTTTCTTATGGGAAAAGGTGTTGTACTAACTTAGCTAATGAAGAGCTCATGGGTGTAGAAGACCTCCTCTCGAAGTGTGTCCTAGGCTGAAAGTTTAAAATACACAAATTTCTTCTGGTATTATGAATCTAGCCTTAAGAAACACTATCTTGATGGACTTCAGGCTTGGAAAACCATATAAAATAAATTACATTAGCAGTATAAAATTATGGTCCCAGTCATTTAGTCTATTGCATTTCACTTGCACTATCTTTAAATGAAGGTGACTGGTGGCAGACAACAAAATGTAACTTTAAAGTAATTTGTTTGTGAAAAATCTTACTGTGTAAGTTGGAAAGCATTACTAGGTGTTTCTTTCTTAAATTTATGTCATGGTTTAACCCTAGCCAGCAACTAAGTACCACACAGCCACTCGCTCACTTCCCCCCCACCCAGTGGGATGGGGGAAGAGAACTGAAAGGAAGAAGGTAAAACTTGTGGTTTGAGATAAGAACAGTTTAGTAGAACGGAAAGGAAGAAACTAATAATGATAATAGTAACAATAATAAAATGACAATAATAATAAAAGAATTGGAATATACAAAACAAGTGATGCACAATGCAGTTGCTCACCACTCGCTGACCAATGCCCAGTTAGTTCCCAAGCAGTGATTCCCCCCCAGGCCAACTCCCCCCAGTTTATATACTGGGCATGATGTCACGTGGTATGGAATATCCCTTTGGCCAGTTTGGGTCAGCTGTCCTGGCTGTGTCCTCTCCCAACTTCTTGTGCTCCTCTAGCCTTCTTGCTGGCTAAGCATGAGAAACTGAAAAATCCTTGACTTGGTAGAAACACTACTTAGCAACAACTGAAACCGTCGGTGTGTTATCAGCATTCTTGTCATACTGAATCCAAAACATAAAACTATACCAGCTACCAAAAAGAAAATTAACTCTATCCCAGCCGAAACCAGGACAATTAAATACTAACTTTGTAAGGCCTAAAATGAGACCTTGCAGTTATGAACAGCAGAGGGAGTGAATCACTGGAGCATCACGTTTTCTGTGTGAGCATTAAGAGACACTGTGCAGTGTGACTGACTTGGTAGTTCTACAGTTTTTCATTAGAAAATGTTCAGCAGAGAATAGATTAAGTGCACTTTTGTTCCTTAGCTCCGTTCCCATAAAATCAGAAACAATCTTTCTGTTAGTTTTCTGCTTTATCTTTTCCGGAGGACAGATGGTTGTTCTGACCAATATACTTTACTAGGTTGTTTGCTTTTTGGGCAGCCAGAGAGCTGACTGTGAGAGACAGTCTTAGGTTGTACTGGATTCCTAAAATACATCCTGGACTAAATTGTAGAAACAAGCAGGTGCATGTAGTAGTCAGGGAACATTCCTCTTAACATGATAGCTATTTTCCAGCAAACTCTGGACCTTATTTAATGTTTCCATTTGGTTGCAAATGCTCTGCAGCAGCTTTACCAGGGACTGCCATGGTTTGTTTCTCATTCCCTTGTCCTGCCTTCTTGCTTGCCACAGCACTGACCTTGTTGTAATCTGATTCAGGGAGCTAAACCGGATTGAAGGCTAATCGCTCTTTATGTCTATAGGATTTATTTTCAGACAGTTTAGCTCCCTGAACTGACTTACTGGCAGGTCAGATGAGCACTGCTGTGGGGAAGAGGCTTGGCAGGACTGCAGTAGCCCTGTGTGAGTTCAGACTGTTTTGGATCAGGGTTTCAGTGGTACTTCAACTCTGAATTTCTAAAACTTAGGGACTCTGTGGTGCATTTTGCATATTCAGTTATGTTGGTTACTGGTATTTGACCCTTTGTTTTATTCTCCTTTTTTCACATTTCATAGTCCTCATGTGGTGAAATATTATGGCAGCTATTTTAAGAACACAGACCTGTGGATAGTCATGGAATACTGCGGCGCTGGATCTGTGTCTGATATTATTCGATTACGAAATAAAACTGTACGTCCTTTCTCCTTTGAATGTATGAATGGGAAATATGGGTGTCCAGCAGCTCAAGGAAGCTGAGTAGTGGGGGCATAATTCTCACGGTGTTCAATGCCTGACACAACTGTTGGCCGTAACTTGAGATGCAAGTCCTTTGTTCCTCTGAAAATGAGAAAACTGATTACGTTATCCAGGTAACCAAAACTTGATCAGTGTAATCAGTGGAGCAGATTTTGGTTTGTTGGCTTTCCTGAAAACCTGGACTGATTCTGAATAACAGACTCTACTTTGTCTTACTTTGGTTATTGCAGGATAAGAATTACTAGCTGAGAAAGGGTTTTGTTATATGAAATAGGGTATGTGTGTATATGTATGCTAGTTGTAATCTAATTCTACTACATAATGCTGTAAGTTGCTAACTAATTTCTCATTAGTATGGCAACCTTTAGTGAAGGGAATTAAATGGCAATTAGAGAATCTCGGGAAAACAGACTGAAAAGCAATAGTGTTACATCTCAGCAACTGCTAGGTTGGCAGTAACTCTTCTTTTCTTTAGCTCACAGAAGAGGAAATTGCTACAATAGTGCAATCAACACTGAAAGGACTAGAGTACCTGCATTTCATGAGGAAGATACATAGGGACATCAAAGCTGGAAATATATTGCTAAATACAGAGGGACATGCTAAACTTGCAGATTTTGGAGTAGCAGGACAACTTACAGTAAGTAAAACCGAGATGGTTGCATACACTTCACTTTATCTTTTAAACCTGCATGCGAGTGTGATGTGCTTGTGCAGACTTTGAGAAATTGTTCTAAACTGGTTTTTAGCACTTTACATCAACATAATGAGATACTAAAACAGCAACGCATTAGAGCAGAGCTTCCTCTGTGGAAGCCACTATACCTAAGTAATGGTTTGCAATAGCATTTACTGTTTTATTCAGGATATTTGTAACTTCTGTACACACATTTCAATTCCTCTTTGCAGTCCTCCGTATCCCAGTCTTGCTGAATCTAATAATGCATGTGCATGCAAGTGGAAGATAATTAGGATGATAATTCATTAATGAATGTTTGTGGCTAATACAGTTGCCATTGTCTGGATCTTTATCCTGCTCTTCTTCTCAGGACACCATGGCAAAGCGGAACACCGTTATAGGGACCCCATTTTGGATGGCTCCAGAAGTGATTCAAGAAATTGGGTATAATTGTGTTGCAGACATCTGGTCTCTGGGAATCACTGCAATAGAAATGGCTGAAGGCAAACCACCATATGCAGATATTCATCCTATGAGGGTAAGGACTGTGGCGTTTTAAAACATATTGCTGTATGTAAGGGTCTTGCTACTACAGCTGGTTGAATAATATAGCAACATGCCATCTTGCTTTTAATTTAGAGTAAATGATTTGTTTTCTGTCAGTTCTTTGTACTGTTGATTAAATGAAAAACAAGTCTTTGAGAAGGAGAATCTGCAAGGGAAGGAAAATCACGATCATTTTCTGTTAAGACATAGCTGAAGCTCCCTGTGTTGGGTGTGACGAAACATATTTTCACCTGTATTATCCAAAGTGATTTTTTTTTTTTATGCAAGCACAAATTTTTAAGACTTAAAATGGCAGATTCACACCTTTTGGGGCACATAATGCCTCAGACAGAAGTGTAAGCACCTGGTGAGAAAAGTCTGATTTCTTGCTACTTGATCCCTCTGAGCAAATTTGTGTATAATATTGGCACAAAAGAAGCAGCAAACTTGAAATGTCTGTCGTTCTTTAGTACTGGTGTATGTTTGTGTGTATTTATGTTGTATTGTTGGAAAGCTTTAAACTTTGTTTGGAAATCTGGAATATTCTTCTGTTTTCAGGCAATTTTCATGATTCCTACTAATCCGCCTCCAACATTCCGGAAACCAGAGCTCTGGTCAGACAATTTTACGGACTTTGTAAAACAGTGTCTTGTTAAGAGCCCGGAGCAGCGTGCCACTGCAACACAGCTTCTGCAGGTCTGCCTTTTCTTACAAGAATGTAAGCTCTAGAGAAGGCTTGCTAGGGTAGGCAGTGCTGTGTGTCTGTTGAGATGTTGGTTTAATTTCTTGCTGCTCCTGCTCACTACAAATTTTACTTTTTAATACCTCACTTAAAAAATCTTACACTCAACTTCAACTTTTCAGTTCTTCTCTAAGAACCAGTCTAACTTCAACTTCTTATCTTTGTCATCTCTGGGTTGTTTTTTTGTTTGTTTGGCTTTTGCAGTTGTTTGGGATTTTTTTACTTTAAAATTGTCACCAGCACTGCCAAGAAACTGCCTCTTGAAACACTAAAAAGGGGAGGCTAAATGAAAGTGATTGCTCTGAATGGTCTAGGCATGGTGATGATCTGTGTAATTGGTTCTCGACAGCTAAGCTGCTAAAGAAAGAGTTGTGGGAGGGGAATGAGCCCAAGGTCTCACAGCAGTAGTGCCTTTGGAGCATGATGTTGTTTGGAGGGTGGGAGGTCTCCCTCCTGTGCCAGACAGAAGTATTGAATTTTTATTTTAATAATGTATTGAGTTAAACCTTAATTTTGATTGGAGGTAGGCCATAGTAACAGTGTTTTACTGTTGTATCTTGGTTCGGATGCAGTGCTTATTTGTTTTTAAAATACTTCCCAGCATCCGTTTGTTAAAAGTGCCAAAGGAGTGTCAATTCTGCGAGACTTGATTAATGAAGCAATGGATATCAAGCTGAAACGTCAAGAGGCGCAACAGCGTGAACTAGATCAGGATGATGAAGAAAATTCAGTGAGTATTTAATAGCAACAAAGTCCAAACTCTTGCTCCTTTCATAAGGCTTATCTGCTTTGTTTTTTGCAATATTTTGTCCAATTGCCTGTGGATTTGACTTAGTTCTCGAGTTTTCTACTTTATGACTGCTTAACCCGATGCTTGGTTCCTGCTCAATCTTTTTATTTCAGTGCGATAGCCAGCATGTATGGCTTACCGTTTAGCTTTATAGTGTAGCTTGAGACCTGTGACTGAATAGGTCTACACAGTAGCGTATGCAAAAGACTTGATACATTTTCCCAGTTGGATTATATTATTTATGCAGTAATGAGACTTCTTCATTGTAGACTCAGGTCTTAGACTGCTCTCCTAGTATGAAATAATAATATCATCTGTGATGCACTATGATATAAGTATGTTGTCTTGTTTTACTATTGTTGTGCTTTAGAACCCCCTTTATAGAAACTTTCTACTACACAAGAACAACCGACAGAAACCTGAGGTGAGGGCATGACAAGCGTTCAGGGGATTGCTGTGAATTTAAGTTCGGGCTCCTTGTTTTAGTGGTTACAGCATGTGAATATGGAAAGCATGTTGAAAGCTGTTCTTTGAGCCTCTGCCTGCTTCAACCTGAATAAATGAAATCGTCAACAAAAGACATTGTATGCCTGTCCTTTTCAGAGGTTAGACTTGAATAGCATGGTCCACACTATCTGTGCGGAAGACATTGTTCATCTAGTTTTCCAGTTTAGGACCACCTATTTATTCAGTGTGGAAGTAACTTTATTGGTCGTGGTGCCATGATGTTGACTCTAAGAGTATTGTCCCTACCCTCTCCATTTCTGACTGATCTGGAGTCACATTGGTGAGAGATGGTGTCTATGTAGTGGAGCTAAATGGTCTCCATCACTGTGTGTGTTTTTCCCAAAGCTTCTCTACTCTGTGTCTGCCAGCAGAAAAGGATTCCCAAGCACTTCCCAAGTGCTGTGGAAATTTCTGCTGTAGTCTTTTGTTAAATGATGTGTAGCTAACAAATTTATTACTTCCTCTCACCCACTCATCTCCACATAAAATTAATTTTCCTCCATTAACATCTTGTGTAGTGTTCTCCTCCTCTTGCTATTGGTTTTGAGGTTGGGAAGTAAATTATATAGACACCCTTGACAGAACAGATAAAATGTATGGAACACCAGAATGTGGAGTGGTGGTGGTCTTTCCTTCAGTGACATTGAGATGGAGTATTACAGCTTGATGTGCAAAACCTGTGTTCTGCCTCTTAACACTAATGCAGATCAGTAAGCCCATGGTCACACGTAAAGAACTGCAGACTTTGTCCTTATAACAAAACATGAGCATCTCATCCAAGGTGAGATGCCTTGAAACTCCGCTGTAAACCTAGAAAGTGACTTCTGTTCTTGCCGTTTGAATAGCTGGTCCACATTTCCAAGAAACTAAATAGATTGTGGAAATTTTGACCTTGTTCTTCATGAAATCCTGGTCACAATATATACTTGGTGAAGCACGTGCCACTTAATCAAACTACTACCTCTGGCTAACATAATTACCTGCCAGGAAGGTGTCCTATCAGAATTTGTTTCAGGAGCTTGTGTTTTCCTGCAGAGTCAGTCTCATGAGCCTTGACACCAATAATTCAAAGTTCTATAATATTAGTACCTGTTAACAAATGGAAAGATAAGAAATAATTTTAATCTGAAAAAAATGACTAGACTGTGATAATTTATTTCAATCCTTATTTTAAGGATTTGCAAATTCAGTTAATTTTTCTTCAGTGCTTCTGAAGTTTGTAGCAAGTAAAACTACCTAAATGTTAAAGACAGATTCCTAAAAAACAGGGTGATCATTTTTCTTCAGTGCCACATGCACTCCAGACTTAGACCTGTTGCTGTCTAATAACTAATGTCTCCTCAGTGAACTGTACCACTTGAGATAGGGAGTTTAGATCAGTGTTTAAAACTGCCAACATGAATAGAAACATTAATGACTGGATGAGTATTGTAATCTACTCTTACAGACAGGTCACCAGGTCAGAAATGAGATGCAACTTGCATTGAGAAGCTTCTGCTGATTATTTATCTGTTCTCTTATTTATCATGTTGGCAGAAAAGTATGAAGACTTTTCATTACCTGTTTGGAGATGATAGGGAGAGAACTAAGTGCATAAACCAAAATGTCGCTTCTATGTGTATTTGTGAAAAACTCTGAATTAATAAGACTTGCCAGTGTCCTTGAATATGGACATTCTTCATGGGACTTCACCACAGTCAGTAAAAATGTATTTACGGCATCCTTGTACAGGAAGAAGATGAAACTGATTCGGGTACCATGGTGAGGGCGAGCGGAGATGAAACTGGTACCATAAGAGCTGTCAACACGATGAGTGATGGAGCCAACACAATGATAGAACACGATGGCACCTTGGAATCCCAGTTGGGTACTATGGTCATAAACACAGAAGAGGAAGAGGAGGAGGGCACCATGAAAAGTAAGACAACATCTTTAACTTCTAGAATATTACTTAGGACCTAATGTGAGCCATGATATGTATTCCTAACCTGCTTTGATAGTTTTGGTAGCTTATTGTGATGTCTTTTGGTTGTAGGGAGCTAAAACTCTTAAGGCCAATGCCCTCTGGCAGTAGAGAAGAGACACCCTTTCTAGGTCGAAGTTTCAAGCCATTCTTTTTAGTCTTGCCCTGGGTATAGCTGATGAGTTGTGCACAGTTTCTGCAAGCTTCTGTGCTGATCAAATTAGATCTGATTCTAGCTAGTATGGGGTTTTTTGTTGGTTCTTTTTTGTCTGTTTTGTCTTTTTTACAGAATGTAGAGGAGGGAGACTCTAGCATAGGGTTAATAAAAAAATCGTATTGCTTTAGAAGGTGATCTGGCTGTAACTTGGCATCTGAAAGCAGCAAGTCTATTTCAGAACTGATGCATCAAATTAAGGGCTACATTATGAAATGACAAACACCTTGCACATTTCAAGCACAGCAAGGCACGCAGTGGGAGGAGCTAGCATCTCTCTAGACTTGTGTGTTTCTTTAGTGTTACTTTAATCACTAAGGACAAATGAATAAACTGTGTGTTGTTCTTCTGAGACATTCAAGTTGAAATCTGTTCCTCCCTAAAATAGAAAAGCTTACTAAAACTGCAAACCTTGTCATAGGATGTAAGATTTGAAATGATGTGACTTTGATCCCTGATAGTCTGTGGAAGACCTCACAGCTTGAGCTGGAAAAGGGTTAAAAATGTTTCTTTGATTAAAGAAATGGCAGGGAGAGCCTCCCTGGAAACGTATGACTAGAAGAAAAAGAATCTTTTCTCAATTATGGATTCTCATAGAAATCCTTTCCCACTGATTGGGTAGTCTCAACAGTATTGAGGCAGAGGCACTCATAGATGACTCAGCTGGCTAGCATAGATGTTTGCTTAAGGACTGAGGAAAATGCTGAGTGAGGGCTCAGTAGTAAAATATGACCATTGTAGGCAAGGCTTATTCTTTTGGCTCTGCACTGCTTCCAAAGACTTCCTTGGCCATCTGATTTTGAATCTTTAGCTATTGTCGGAGAGGAAAAAATTCTCAACAGGAGTTTGGAAAAATCCTTTTCCCAGGAATTTCTGTGTTGAAAGCTTCTTCCATGTGGGGGTCCTCTAGAGCTTGTGGAAAGATACCAGTTTTGAGAGTGAAATTTCAGCAGAACCCGTTTAAAGAGTTTTCCAAACACTGATTTAGCACATTAAAAAAACAGAGGTGTCGGCCCATGTAGCAGCTTGTGGCAACAAAGATGATGGAGTAATGCCATTGGGTTTTGTGGAACAAGGTAGCTCTAGCAAGGGGACAGGTGGATGCTTACAGTACCTAAAAGGTCACCCAAAGAGTGGGATGTGTTAACAGCCGTAAATAAACCTAGTGAAGTTGCAGTTTCTTTACAAATTCTAGACGTTCTAGACAACGTGGTTAGTTTCTCATCATCAGTGTGTATTGTTCCAATTCATGATTCACAATAACGGATGTTTTACTGTCTGGGGTGCTCCTGCACTGGCTACTAAAGGTGCATAAGTAAAGTGCCTCTTCAGTTTATCTTCCTGTGTTTATCTTCCTGCTTATCTTCTCACAATCTTTTTAACCTTGCAGCGCTTGTAACTCAAAAGCATCGAAAGCTCTCTATGAAGTAGTGTACGGAGTTTTGAGGCAATGCCTTTGATAATACCTCTTTTGCAAGGACATACTCTCATTTTGAGTAAAATCAGTTATGAGGATATAGCAGTGTCCTTAATATAGTGTAGTTTCTAACCTCAAGAGGGAGCTCCAGAACAAGCTCTTAGGAGCTCTAGATCTCTGTGACTAGAAGTCGAGTTTGTCTTTTAACCCCCCCTTAGACTTCAGACTTCTTAAAAACGCTTTGTTCTTCAACTGCAGCTGTGTAACAGTATTCAAAGCTGAGTATGCGGCAGAAGTGCTTGAGCAGCTCTGCCTTCTGGAGAAAGCATTTTGAGATCCTGGGTGCAAGTGGTGGTTGGCACTGGTACTGCTTTCATGTCGATAGGTTTCACACAGTAGTATCTAGTGAAACAGAGCTGCACTCAGCACTCTCTGCTGCAGGTTGTGCTGCATTTTAATAACTTGTACCTTGATTCCAAGAAATCTGATGTTAATAACAATTATTGTACCAGACTAAAACTTAACTTTTCCTTAACACGTTATTCTCCTCCTTACCCGGTAGCATAATTCTGAAATTCTGGCTGCTGCACAGAACAGTTGTGTTTGCTTCTTGGACGCACTGCAAGGCAGTGTCTTTGAGCGGCTTACCCTTCATGTGAATTGTGTATAGCTCTGTTTTCCAGCTTGCTGTTTCCATATTCATGTTCTCATAACATTCAGTTAAATTGATTTAGCTGTAAAGCTCATTGGTCTGCTGCAGAACTCTCTGGAGCAAGGTCTTTTTGTAATCTTAAATATAAATGTAATAATGCTGTTTGGAAACCACTGAGTTTGAAGAAGCTTCATTGATTCATATTTTTAAAGATGTCTATATTTCATTTGGCAGCTTGTGTTATGACTCACAATAAAACCTGTTTTAAGTCAATAAAAAAGTTCTGATTTTTCTTGCATGGCATTAGTAGGAGAATTTAGCTTCCCTAGGTGTCTTGGGCTTTTTAACTGCAGGCTTCTGAGCTTGTGTCCTAGCCCTTACTTCTAATTTAAAAAACTAAGTCTGTGTATTCACCAGTTTTTGGTTTGGTTTTCTTTCTTTTTAATCTAAAAAAGTGTTTATAGGACATTGAAATACGATGCTTTAGGTAAGATTGTCTTCAAAATCTCCAGCAAACAACTTCCAATAACCTTGAAAGTGATTCTTGCGTAGATCGTTTCATGACTTTTCAGGCTCAGAGGAAAAGCATTTTTAAATTCCAGTATTTTACATTGTAGGGGAGGTTTTGTTTTGTAGTCAATTGAGCTGTAATTCTGTTTGCTTAAATTCTTTCATTTGCTTGGCTTTTTTCTGGGCATTCAATATAAATACTCAGGCAGCATTAAAAATGTCACTATGATATTCTGTTATGCATTTTGAAAGCACTCAAGTGATTGCCTGAAACCACAGATACTAAACTGTGCTGTGACACGTTTTACTTATAAATCGATTGCTAACAGATTACTTATGGATTGCAGTTAAACTATTCCAGGAAAACTTTGGAAGTTGCTGAAGAACTATAGATGAACAATGATTTGTAATAACAGACATTTCCATTGTGCTTGAGAGCTGGAATAACTTTCGAACTGTTAATATGTCTGAAATAATCTTTTAAAAATTTTTCTATGAGAGAATATATAGTGCTAGTAAACAGTGCAGCATTTTTCAGTCTATTTTTTTGCTTTTTCTGCTTTATTTGCTGTAGGTCTTTAGAAAGTGGAAACTTGGCATGAGTTTGTCTCTTCGATTTAAAGAGTGGAACATAATTTTATAATAAAGCAGATAAACATATTGCCTTCCTTGGACACTGCAATACAATCAGATCCAAGTGAAATAGGATCTAGTTTGTCTAGTACTATAATCTGTCCTATTTCCTATGTTAAAGTGCCTCTTGCTTGTTTAAGCACCAAATAAAATGACACTGGAGAATGTAGAACTGCCAACAGTGGCGTGAGTTGGGCTGTCTGGTTTTTGGGTCAAAATGAATGAGAGATCTGGAGTTGGTGGAAGAATTGTGGGTGTGGGGTTTTTGTTAATGTGGCACACATTCAGTAGAGCATCTGGGGCAGAGGTAGACCAGAAGCTCTAATAACGCTGTTGCCTCTACCTTGATAATGTAATGTGCAGGTAAAAAATTTTAATAGCTGGTGAATGTGTAAAATAAAAAATTGTAGGCTTCATTCTTATAATATAGTTAGGCGTGGTTTGGGTTTTGTTATGCTTTTACCATGCGCGCACTGCTAAGCATGGTTGTGTCCTTTTAAAAACAAACTTCCCCTTTTGAGGGGAGATTGAGTTTCACTAGCAGATTAAATGAGCTAAGATGCAAACTTGGCAATTAGCTATTAGAAAAATAATTCAGAGTAAGCTTGTTAGTCTTGGTGCCTTTGTGAGACATCCAGTGGGTGACACTTAAACCTGAACCAGAGAAGTGTTACTGCCAAGACTCGGGAAACTTTTTTTCCCCCACTAATGAACCTGTGATTTTTCATGTGAAGCAATGACTGTAAAAGCTGTAATGTGAACAGCAGAATGAATATGGATGGCAGAAGGTTTATGTGACTGCATTAATATTATAATTTAATAAAGTATTACTGGTATGTAGCTGAGGTGTAGCTATAGGTGGTGTGATATCAGTAGTTATCCAAAAAGTGCGGATGCATGTTATCCAAATAGCTGATGCAGGTACTGTAGAGAATAGCTCCGCATCTTGCTGGGATTTACATCATGTGTGCGTCAAAGCTATTTGGATGTGTTTTGCCTCTGGTTTTCTCCATAGACAATAGCTCTTCATAAGCAGCTTCCGACTACTTAGTGTTATTAAGGTCCAGTGGTACAGTTCTGTGTTCAAAATAAATTGGTCCATTTAGGCATAATTGGACCATAAAACACTCTTAGCGTTATTCATTTAAATAACACTGTTTATAGAAATACCTACATTGATTAAATTCTTCTCAAACTGTAAGAAGCATTGCACTGCCACTCTTGAGGTGTGGAGAATACAAGTCTTCACAGATAAGTCTTCCAGTTGTGTTACTTTTTGACTTTTATCTTAATAGCAGCCTTGCTGGCAAACTTGACATAAACAGTGGCCAGCACAGTTTGTTTAAGAATATCAAGTTGTGCACATATGCAGACACTATTTTTGAGCAATGGGAGGAGTTTTATAGGCTGTGATTTTGTTGTGGGGGTTTTGCTGTGGGTTTTGTTTTTTCTGCTTGAATAGTGGTAGGCTAGTGGACATCTGTGCAGTGGGCTAGCAGTTGAAGTAGTGGTTCTGTGCGGAATGAAGC